TAAAAATTTACTAATAAAGTATAATAATATAAATTTAACTAATAAAATATCTACTAATAAAATTGATTATATTACAATATATACTATAACTGAATCTGAACAATCTACAAATAGTTAGCAATTTATAAAAATTATTAAATATAGAAAGATTTATAAAAAAAAAAAAGTAACCTAATTATTATAAATAGAAAAGATTAACAACAAAATAGTATAAAATAAATAAACAAAATCTTATCTGTTTATAAATTGTTTGAAATTAGATGTAGTAACTTGGTGTAGTTGATAAGTTTTCGCACTTGCAAGCAGCAGGTCTAGAGTTTGAATCCTACTTATAATGAAATTCAGAAAATATACCTGTATTATAACAACTGCTTCTGTTATATAGAGTTAAATATCTGTAATGTGGTCACACTGACTTGTTTAAGAGATCAGGAGCATCTGTATTATACAAAGAAATACAAACTGATATTGGGCTATGCAAATCTAGAATAAGTTCTTTGGCTATGTATAGAAATCTGTATATATGAAAAAATTATAGAAGCTTGTTTGGAAAGATTCGAGTAAGAAGATAGTGAAGATTTTTGATGATATTATAAGAAAGCCAGAACTGAAAATTGAAGAATCAGATGAAAAAATCTGAGGCAAGAAAGATATACCAACTTGGCTATCAGAGTCATATTAGAGAAAAAGGTTCTATATTATGAAATTAAAAACTAAGAAAAGTATAATTGAAAGTCACTTAAAGTCTAGATATAATAATTAGTTATACTACAAAATCTTAATATTCAAAATCCCAATATACAAAATCTCGACAAACAAAATCTCAATATCAAAATCCTAATACTGCTAAAATACTTATAGTAGCACTATTAAGATTTTGGCAGTGTTGAGATTTTGTTGTCAGGATTTTGTTTGTCGAGATTTTGTATATCGGGATTTTAAATATCAGAATTCTGTAGTATAATCATAATAATCTATTTGGGCTAACTGGTTTGATAGTTGAGAAGAGATCAGTAATAAAACTAGTAAATATAGTATTGGGATTAGAATGAATTTTACAAAAGTATAAATACTAGAATTGTGAAGTTTAACAGTTAGCCCTGACTGCTAGTAGTAGTTTTGGCTATTGCAGAAGATATTTAAAGTCTAATTTGAAAATATATGAGACATATAAGAATTAGAAGGCATCTATTACACTTATCTGTGAAGATCTATGAATTACTAGGATAACCTAGTTCAGGTAAAAGGATAATAGGGGTATTTTGGTTTTTTTTTTTTTTTTTTTTACGGTTTATAGAACGACCTCATTGGTCGAGGGGTTTCCCTTTATTATTAAAGTATCTGCAGTCTGTATTTTTACGGAAGGGTTTATAGTAACATATCAATAAGGGTACAATAAGCCACATATACAACTTTAGTCATTGTCTATTTAAGGGTTCCGCTCGTAGATTTCCTACTCATTGCCATACCTAAGACCCGCTTGTGAGTTCTCTATTTAAACTCTCTGATTTTTAATGTTATTCTGCTCATATAATCCTTAATTTAGGTACTTGGTCCAATCTTCAGGCTACTTTACCCATGAGGTAAATTCTACCGAAGGAGGTAGTTCCCACAGCCACACCTTATCTGGATTTTATTACACCAGAGATGATTCCATATTAGGTAAGGCTAATCCTTTCTACAAACATTGGCAACATTCTCCACATTTCTCACTATAGTAGTGCCCACGCTCTGCTGTACCGGTTTCCTTCTAGAAATTCCTTAAACCAAACGTGTACCTTCACTTGAACTTCCACAGGGCTTCGCGTACGATTATAGGCTCCTTTTTAGATTACAGAGTATTCTACCTCCAGCCAAACTCAAACCATTGATCTTGTTTGTGGAGGGACGGGAGCTTATCCATTAAGCTATGAAACCCGAACCCCCAGGGGGGTATTTTGGTATAAAAGTATCTAGTTTAAAATAATTAGTATATATATAAATACTAAAATATAAACCTATATAGTCAATGACAAATACCAATAAAGCTTAGTCCTAAAAGATATCTAAACAAAAAAAATAAAAATAAAAAATAAATTGTATAATATCTAACTATAATCTATATTTAATAATATATAAAAAAAAACTATTTTTATACAAATTTTTTAATTAAAAATTAATTTACTAAAACTTCAGATAAATAATCTAAGCTTATAGATACAGTTTATATATTAGTATTATTTATACTACTTATTTTTTATTTATTTTTAAAATAATATTGTAATAAATTAATTAATGATTTACCAATTAATCAAAGAGTGCTTATAGTATAATATAATGCATTTTATTTATAAAACTTCAAGTTTTTAAAATATAATATGCTTCTATTTAAAACCTTTTACTAATTATTTTTGAGTCTCTAATTAAAGTTGTAGAGCTTATTAATATAGATTTAATAGTAATTAAATTATCAAAATCAGCTTAATAAATTATGAAATATTTTTAAAAAATATATAAACTTCTCTTTTAATAATAGTATTGCTAAAAAAGAATTTTATATAGTTGGTAAAATGTTTTTCAAACATTTTTACTAAAGCATACCACTAGTGTTTAACACCAGTGTCGAAAAGTAAATCAGATATCATGTGACAATAAATAATTAACTGACTAACTAGTTGCTATATAACATAAAAAAAATCTACATATTTATGTAATACTAACATAATGAGTATATATAGAGTAAATAAAAAATATGTATGTGTTAAGATAATATTAAATATAACCTGTCACTTTGCGTATATAGCTAATATTGCTTATATATATGTACATATATAAGTATGTATATTATAAAACAATATTAGCAATTAGGTCTTACTATAATAAAAGATATCTCAAAACTCAAAATTGTAAGAGCAGTTTATTACACTATTTTGACTACAATGTTCCTGTAATTTACAAAGTAAAAACCTTAATATATGCATAGAAAATAAAACAAACCCACCTGATCTGCTAATCCTATTATTTATAAACCCAAACTCATTTACTATCAATATACACAAATATATTTTTAACCAATTTATGAATATCTTAAATATAAACTCGAATTTCTCATATCAACAAGCTTGTTTTGCCTCAAATATACAATTGTTTAGGCAATTAATTTACATTCAAACTTCTACTGATATAATTCTCATCTATAACCCTGTCTGCTCAGAATTATAGCAAAATTTTACTAACACATAATTACTAATCTAATGAACTATGGTTAGGAAATTCGAATGCCCATCTCTCTTACATTTCAAAAATATGTGTAAAAACCTTTCATGCACTAAAACAAAGATTTTTTGAGCAATTTTACTATATTGAACTAATTATATAAATATAATATTGCAATTTAATATCAATTACAAAAACAATTCTTCGCTCTAACAAAAAAAATTACTTTGTGTAGTTATACTGCAATATATTTCTAAACTCAACGCAAAGATGAAATTATTATATAATATTTATAATTCACAATTTAAACACCCAATCTAATTAATAAATTGGCATATATGAAATGAAAACTAATTATATATAAAGCAGTCAACTCTTTTTAGTCGAAACAGTATTGAAATGAGCTTATGTTTATTTAAACAAATACATGTATTGTGACCCCTTAGATTACAAATCCTGCATTTTCACTTAATACTAGTTTCTTCTGAGTTATCTTCTGGATCATCATCATTTGAATTATCAGATTTGGCTAAGCCTGGACAAGTACGTGCGTTATGGCCTTTAGAGTTGCAAATCTCACATTTTCATTAAATACTAGTTTCTTCTGAATCGTCTTCTGGATCATTATCATTTGAATTATCAGATTCAGCCAAGCCTGGACAAGTATATGCATTATGACCTTTTGAGTTGCAAATTCTACATTTTTTTATACCTTTTCTTTCTTTTACGTTAGTGGCTTCTATATTATTAATTCAAATTATTAGATTCTAATAAACTGTACTATTTATGTCACAATGCAATAATATATACCTAAACTATAATCACTATTGATATTGTTATTATTGTCTGATCTGATTTGAGAAATTTGCTTTTTATTTTTACCCTTCGAGATATTCATATTATCATTGAAGCCTTTAATTCTTTTTGACTTCTGATCTTTTGTTTTGACACTTATCAGATTATTTATAATGCGGGCAAATACTTCAGGATCATTATATTCTATTTGATTATTCTTTTTCATAAGTTCAAGCTTCATCTTTTTGATGAAGTTTTCATAAATTTTATAGAGCTCTTCAGTTCGATTTGTTGTAATTGCCAAGTTGAGTGCTTTCTTCATCATTCTGAATCCTCTTCCCTATTGATGTCTATGTATTATTTCATAATTAATTGATAATCTGCCTATGAACTGAAGAATAGGTGAAATGAGATGTCTGCTATCTAAAACTTTTTTTATTATTAAGTTAATAATATATGCTTACTAATTGAAAGTTGTAGAGCTCGTCGAGACGCATCTAATGGTGGTTAGATCATCTAAATCGGTCTAGTAGATAGCGAGATATCGTCGAAATATGATTGGCCGACTATATAAAAATCCATGCCGGAAATTACATATGAAAATCACCATCGGCGAAACATGGTGTGCCCCATATAAAACTTTTTTTCTTACTAAGTTAACTACTCTTATGTATTAACTAAAAATTATAGAGCTCGTTGAGACGCATCTAACAGTAGTTAGATCATCCAAATCGGCCTAGTAGATGACAAGATATCATTGAAAAAACGATTGGCCGACTATATAAAATCTATGTAAATAATGTTTGTTTATATAGAGATTTTATATAGTCGGCCAATCGTTTTTCAACGATATCTTGCCATCTACTGGGCTGATTTGGATGATCTAACCACTGTTAGATGCATCTCAATGAGCTCTACAATTTTTAGTTAATACACAAGAGTAGTTAACTTAGTAAGAAAAAAAGTTTTAGATGGGAGCACGGCATGTTTTGCTGATGGTGTTTTTTATATATAATTTCCATCACAGATTTTTATATAGTTAGCCAATCGTATTTCGACAATATCTCACCATCTACTAGACTGATTTGGATGTTCTAACCACTATTAGATGCGTCTCGACGAACTCTACAACTTTCAATTAGTAAGCATGTATTATTAACTTAGTAATAAAAAAGGTTTTAGATGGCAGATGTCTCATTTCGCCTATTCTCCAGTTTATAGGCAGATTATCAATTAACTGATTTGTTGAAAACATGCTTTTCACAAATATTTTTCAAATATGAAAAATCTACTTGTATAGTATCTTCAGATGCATCTGATGGGCTGTTTATATATATTACAATTGCTAGTTCAAAAAATATTGAGGCATCTTCAACTAATTTATCTAAGTACCAACATTATGGTACAAGCCCAATATGAAATTTCAAAACTTTTGAAAAAAGCATTACCACAAAAAAATGACGACATACAAGGCCATGGTTTATTAAAATTAAACATATACACATATATACATTATTATTATAAAGCACAATAAAATATATGCTTTTTTGATCGATTAAAGAAATATACCAAAGTTTATAAATTCTTGTCTGATCAAGACCATCAATTAATTGTTTTAATTCAATAACACTAGCATCAAACATATCTTCGGAGAACATTCCTATAAGTGATTCAATAATAATCTATGAAAAAATTACAAATGTTAAAGCATTATGTTAATATTTCCTTACTATTCTATTTCAATTGTATAATAATGAAATTATAATGTTTTTATCTGTTGTTCAAGTTCATTGTTAAGATTAGCCATGTGACACCAGTAATATATACTACAATTAATTTTATTTTGTTGAAGCTTTAAAATTGCCAGCATTTTTTAATGCTGGCATGATATATCAACTGCATTAAAATATTTATTATAATATTTCTCCTCTCTATTTACCGAAAGTTGACCTATAGTTTCATACAGACGTACAAACTGACTTTCTTTTTCTAACAATTTTTTAATATTTTGTTTAAGCTCTAAAATTGATGATAATCTATTTATGCATTTCTTAATTTTAGCATTATAAAACTCGATACGTTGTGTGTTTTGCATATCTGCATTAAATACACAATGTGTAAAGCATAGTACCAAAGTCTTCCTACATTGATAAAGCTGATGTTGCAAATAATTGGTGGCATCAGAATATTTTTGTAAAAAATTAAACCATCTTTCTTCGAATATTGACTCAATACAACTATTGCATATATGGCAGAAGTCTGCAAAAAACTCTCTCTATTTTCATGATATTTAGCAAGAAAATGTTTTTCTAAATTTTTCTGAATATGAAATAAACAAAAATGATGTTTAGTCATTGGCAAAGAGTTGCTAGCTGCTAAAATTATTGCTGGATCAGCATTTGTATAAAGCAAATATAGAGCCAAATTTTTAGTTGCCTTAAAAATTCTTGTAAATAGCTATTCATAAGTTTCTTTGGTTTCATCAAAAATAATAGTTACTGCTGCAAGATGAGAATGGTTATGATTATTCACAAGTATTATGATACATAATATCATTGAATGGCGATTAGTTTTTGCTATAGAATCTAAAAGAACAACATCATGAAAGCGAGTCTACAATTGTTACTATCCTGGGCTTATCCAACAAAGCCTTGTAAGATGATTGTCCTTGCCTTCAAATTGAACATCAATATAAAAAGTGCAATCCAACTGTTGTTTTTTCACAAGCTCGAAATACAATAAACTAGCATCACTTATTTCTTCTTTTTTGTACCGAATTGACTGAATTAAGTTATACACATTACGATTATAAACATATTTATCTGAAAACTTTTTTTTATAAGATCTTAATTATTGTATTGGCACGCACTCCACAACTTGCAAAAAATTTTACTTCATTACTTATTTCTGAAGTCAGCTTTCGATAATGTATTGCAACCATATTTATATTATCTACAAGCATATGATTATGCTGACCTTTAATTTTTGAAATATAAATCAAATTATCTCTTTTTCACTGATATACATTAACATGAAATTTGCAACTAATAGTATGGTAACTACTATCACGATCATTAATGATGTATGTTTCTTTTCGAGGTACATATGGTTGACCCTTCGCACAATTGTAAGTACGATGCCAGAAAACACTATCTTCCTTGTCTTTTTCACTATGAGTAATTATAAATGCAAACCCTCTTTCTAATCTATGATTATCAGTCCATTGGTCAAACTCTTTTCAATTTCTAAAGCTCATATTTAGTTCAATAGGATATTGTAGTTCTGAATTGTTCTTGTTATCTTGATTTTCATAAGCTTCAGTTATATTCGAAGGTGAATTTGAGAGGTTTTCTATATATTCTATTATTTCATTATCCCTCTTATTTTCAGTTTGTTCAAACAAAGTCACAAGGTTACTTGGCTCAAATGTATTAAGAAAAGTTTTCATGTTATTGGGCCCAAATATATTGAAAAAATTCTCCAGATTGTCATTTAAAGAATTATCTGCATTATCAAATTCAGCACCAAAAAAATTTTCTATGTTACTAGATCTGTAGATATTTTCTGTATTACAGGTTTCAAACGTGTTAATGCTTGCAAAATGATCAACCACAAAAGAAAAAAAAATTAAAGTTATGATCTACTGCAAAAAAAAAGCATATGCATTAAAAAAATTTACTGTATTGCCAAAGTCGAATATACTCAAATAATTACTTGTACTACCAAATTCAGTACCAAAAATATTATCCACTTTACTAGATCCATAGATATTTTCCATATTATTAGTTTCAAATGTGTTGACACCTGCCAAATGATCAATCACAAAGAAAAAAAAACAAGGTTATGATCTACTGCAAAAAAAAAGCATGTGCATTAAAAAAATTTCCCATATTGCTAAAGTCGAATGCACTCAAATAATTACTTGCGCTACTAGATTTGGTATCAAAAATATTATCTACACCTAATCCGTTTTCCATCTTATCAGGTTCAAACATGTCAACAACTGTCAAATGATCAAATGTAAAAGAAAAAAAATTATGTTAGAAAAAAAACAATTTTATAAAATTTTAAAATAAATAAACTTTATAAAATAAATAAAATTTTACCAACACCACTAGTGTTTAATACCCGTGGTGTATAATAGTTTAATTTATTATATCTGATCTACTTTTCAACATTGGTGTTAAACACCAGTGGTGTGATTTAACAAAACCATTTTTCAAAAATATCTTATAATTTATTTAAACCAATTTAATGATTTAACTACTATTAGATTTGTCTTAACAAGCTCTATAACTTAAATTAGAAACTTAAAAGTGATTAACTTTGTATAAAAAAGTTTTAAATAAAACATTCTATATTTCAAAAACTCTAATTTCTATAAATAAACTACATTATATTATACTATAAGGAGTGTTGTTATAGAACAGTTGTGAACAGTAAGTAAATAAATTAAAATTACTTAAAATTTTATTAAAGTAACCTATACAGTATTATTTTCTAAATAAAATATGTTCAGCATCTAAAAAATATATAATTATATATTTTTAAACAAATTTATTAATTATTAAAGCTTGAATATACTTTAAACACTTGTAGACACTTAGATACTTAGATATTGGATAGTGCTAAAAAAGCCTTTAAACAGTTAAAACATACATTACTACTATAAGCACTTTTTGATTAATTAGTAATTCACTAATTAATTATTTTACTAATAAAAAGTATTTTGTATAAATTTAATATAGTATCTTTAAATAATTCTTTTAAATTAAGCAAATAATATCTTTTATTTAAAGCCATTATTTTATTAATTGACAAAATGTTAACTGCTTTATATAATTTAATTTTTATGTTTTTTTTATAGTTGTTTAATTTAGATTATATAAGTCTTTGTAGTAGAAAAGATAAAAACTTAAATATATCTTATTTTAAGATAATTGAGTTTAATCACTTGTTTAAGGGTAGAGTATAGGTCGATCATTTATTATATGATCTCTGTGGTATAACAAGATTTTATGTATAAAGTAAAATACGTCACTAGTAAAAATTCTCAAAGTCATAGTTAAATTTTACCAAATTTAGTAATTTACAGTTTAAACCTTTTATTTATAGTAGTAAAACTTTCGGGCTATATTATTTTTAAAAAATAAACATATATATATTATAAAGTTTTCAGTGATTTCTCACATTTTTCAGAGTTACACAAAAAATATAATAAAAATATTTCTAAAACAGTTAATTACCCAATTAGATTTGTATTTACTATATAATCTATTATACAAAAAAAATTGCTATGCATATTATATAATAAATGATCTATGTATACTCTACCCTTAATTTTTAGACTAATTTGAGATAACCAAATTTTATAATTTAATTAGTTAAATATAATAGGTAATTATCAAATAATCTTATAATATGCTTGATCTTAAATAGTTTTGTACAATATTTTTTTATATTATCTTAAATTTTTATTATGCAATTGACTTTATTTATAATTAAAAAATATTAATTCTATTGAAATTTATACAAATTTAATAAAAACTCTATTTTTATTTTGGGTAGTTTCTGCCTTTTTTATTGCAAAAATCCTATATTATAGTAATTATTATATTTAATTAATTAAATTAAGAATTTACTATAAAAATTTTGATATATAATAGTAGCTAAATTTAATATCTAATCTTAGTATATTAACTATAGTAAAAAATATTAATTATTGTAAAATTTATTTAAACTATTATATTTTAACCAAATAAAATTAATAATTTTTAATAATAATATTATACAATATTTTTTTCAAAACTTTTCCTAATAATCACTTGTACCAAACTTATGACTAACGAAAACGAAACTTGTTAGAAAAAAGTAGAAGAAACAACTATAAATAATAGTTTTTACAGAGGTCAAGAACTTCTAAGTTTTCTTCAGACTCCTTTGTATATTTAGCATGTAAGTTAAAAGCATTCTTGTACAAGATAACTGGCAAGAAGGTGGTACCTGTATAAAAAATTTTAATAAAAGCTCTGCTTCTGCTTACAAAGTTAAAGATAGTTGGTTTTAGAAAAACAACAAGTAAATTTTAATATATTTTTTTTAAAGTTTAAGACTATTCACAAACCGAAATCCTCTTCTATATGCCATTCTTGGCCTTTATGAAATTTTTCTAAAAAGTGGGAAAAACATCATACTCTATCAAAAAATTGCCAACAATAATTGCTGCTAAAAAAAGAAAGATATATATAAGGTAAGTGTGGGTATTGTGGCGAAGTTAACAGTTCTTTCTAATAAAAGTTAATGAAAAATGCAAGTCATATTATAAATTTTAGTTATAATATAGATTTCAACTTGCTTCATATAATTAAAAAAAAAAAAGCTCAATTTTATAATTTTATAGTGAGAATCATTAAGCGGCTTTGATTCTCAATCAAGTGAGGGTATTGTGGCGAACCGAAGATCAGCAGATAAAAATGCTGATCGATAATCTTTTTATTACGGTATTACGTTCATTTAACGTTAACAAGCAGAACCAACGACAGTAATAACGATACATAACTTAGAAACTTAGTTTTCTTTATCCTTATTTTTAGCATTCACTTTTTTTTTTGTTTTTACCTGCGGATTCAACTTTTTTTGTGCGTTTTCTAACTCATGTTTTGCCCGCTTCTCTGCAGCGGCCTCCTTTTTTTTCTTTGCGTTTTCAGCTTTACTTCTAGCTAGTTCTTCTGCCTCCTCTAATTCTCGTAAAGAGTTGTCATTGGTAGGAAGGCGGGCGAAGGGTAATGTCTTTCTCCTTTTTGTGGGCTGGGATTGAGATTCGGTAGTGCCATTAGAGTTTGGCTCTACAGTTTGTGTTTGCCGGGGGGCAGAGTATTTAAGAGCCATTTTTAACGAACAGGTACCGGGCCTTTTATACGTTTCCAGCTCTTCTTTTGCTGAGGTGAAATCTTTTTTTATTGATTCATTTTCTTTTTTTAATAATTCTACCTCATTCTCGAGTGAATTGATTTCTTCTTTCAATAATTCCAATTCTTGAACAGTGGCAGCTCGAGTAGGGTATTTCCGGGTTGGTCGAGATGAGGATACAATTGCCGGCGCTGGTGTTTCTTTCTCAGTTGGTTGAGTGGGCTGAAATGAAGGTAATAAATCAGGTTGCTCGGTTGTTAATAAAGGATCAAGACAGTCCGGACTGATCGCGTTAGGGTTAAAAGGCCAAATTCCTGTAACTCTAAAAGAATTAGCAATTGCCTTAGAGGTATAGGTTGTGGCAAATGCTGGTCCAAGAATACTAGCGAATGTATGCTTGGTAACCACTTTGCCTTTATCATTGTGAAGTTTATCACAACCATTGCTATATTCGTTTTTGAGCTTGGCGAATGGAATTTCAGATGGTTGAAGCACATGTGTGGTGTGGGGAGGAAGTGCATATAGTAAAACCTCATTATCATAACAAAATTTAACGCTTGTATAGTTTACATGACTTTTGTGGCCATCAAGCATTAATAGGACTAGGCGAGCAGGTGGAATCAAACTGATGAAGTGCTCGATATACATCTGGAAGAGGTCTTCTCGCATATACCCAGAATCAGTGAAGCCCATTACGCTACCAGGAGAGGCTCCAGCTAATAGACCTGGAATTGCACAGATACCTTTATAGATGATTAATGGAGGTACAGAATCACTTGCAGCTAAAATCGTTGGAGCGACAGATATATGGTCATGTACGTTCCCGTGTAAGACCTTATGGACTTGGCGAGCACCTTTCATAGCGAGAACCTGAAGATGAGTTAGTAAAAGTACATAAATTTTTTTAAGTAAATTTTTTTTACAATAATAACTACAAAA